TCGGGGCTGCCCCTAAGGCTCGAATCTGCTCCGCAGCTGGCTCCCGAGGGCGCCCCGAGAGCCCGGGTCCAGGTAGGAGGGGGAGCCAGACTCTCCTGCCCTGAGGTTTGGCCTCGGGAACTTCGCGCTCAGGAGGCTTCGCGATGATGGCCACCTGACCCCGCGAGGGCCGGACGCCACCCTGGTCTCCCAGCGCCACTCGCGTCTGAGTCACCCCTGGAAATGTTGGGGGGTGACTGCCAAGAGGGAAGAGGCCCAGCGCTCCCCGCGCCCTTGCTCCGGCGCACACAGAACCTCTGGCACCTGGCATCCCAGCATTCTGCCCCATGGCACTCAGGTGAGCCCACGCGAGCTGCCTGGCCCTGCGCGGAAGGCCCCAGGCACGGGCAGAGGCCTGTGCGGCCACCACAGGGGACTCTGCCAGCCACGAAGGCCCCAGGAAGCGCGGAGAAGCCAGCAGGTGGCTGTCGGCCTCCCCGCCCCACTGCCGCTGAGGACAGTGGCCCCGTCCACCTGCGTGTGTTCCTACAATGAGCTATGAGAACTCCGCTGGAAGGAGGGTGTAGGCACGGCCCCCACCCGCCCAGGCCACTCTGCCCCGTGACTCCGGGGGGCCCAGCACACCTCCTGGCTGAGTGGGCACCAGGGAGCCAGGGTGTGGGCCGTTGAGCATCAGCTGCGGCAGAAGCGGTCAGGGTGGGGAAGGGGCGGCCCCACGCTGCTGGCATCTGGCCAGCCGCCAACAATGCCTCCATTATCCCTCAACGTTTGTGGCCATGGAACAGCCCCTGGGGAGGACAGTGCAGGCGGGAGACCAGCCAGAACTTCCCCGCTGCAAGATGGGCTGGTGCGGGAGCCTGAGCCTGGAGAGATGGCCTGCTCACGCTCCCCTCGGCCTGTTGCCACTCGTGGCCCTCTGGCAGTCACCCTGGACTTGTTTCCTGGCGGTCATCCCCACCCTGCTCCCCTCCAGGCCCAGCCTGTTCTGCCAGCCCCTCCCCGTCCTCCTCGGGCACAGCAGCTCTTACCCCGTGTTCCCCCGAAGGTGCACAGGGTGTCCCCGCCCTGGTCAAGCTCCGTTTCCAGCAGCATCGCGGCGGAGCGTCGTCCAGCAGGAGTCTTGGCGCAGTCCGGGGTCAGAGCCCAGCACCGGGCGGGCGCTGTCCGCGGTGCTGAAGGAAGCGC